TGAGTGCCGTTACCCGGCCGGGAAGGGGCCTCCGGAGAGCCCTGACTCCTCTCTCCCGCCCTGCAGATCTCCAGGGGCCTCTGGAAGAAGTACGGGGACAAGAGGGTGATCGACCCCCCGATATCAGAGGTACGGCTGCCCCTGCCCCGGCCATCCCTCCATCAGCTGCTCCCCCGGTGCTGACCCTCGGTTTCCTTCTCTTTCAGATGGGCTTCACTGGAATTGCTGTCGGTGCTGCTATGGTTTGTAAATTTGCATTCCCTCCAAACTAAACATTTGGTTTTATGTAAAAACTTACTAATCTGTATTTTAATATATTTAATAGGCAGGGTTGAGACCGGTGTGTGAATTCATGACGTTCAACTTCTCCATGCAAGCGATTGATCAGGTGATAAACTCTGCTGCCAAGACCTGTTACATGTCTGCAGGAGCGATCGCTGTTCCCATTGTCTTCCGGGGCCCCAACGGGGCGTCAGCTGGAGTCGCCGCTCAGCATTCCCAGTGCTTCGCGGCTTGGTACGGGCACTGCCCGGGACTGAAAGTTGTTAGTCCGTGGAGCTCAGAAGATGCCAAAGGTCTCCTGAAAGCATCAATCCGGGATGATAATCCAGGTGAACACAGGCAGATCACAGCAATACCCAGCGCTTGATCCTGAAAAGAATGTCAGTTTTCCCCTCCCACCCCATTTGAAACAAACAAAAAACTCTATTAAACCCCAAAACACTTCAGGCTGTTCTACTGCAGCTTTTGGGTACTTACAAAGGCACTAAAGTATTGGTTCAAACACTTTTCCTAACAGGCACTTGGCTTGCTAGCAGTACACTCTAATTTTGTGCTGTTGCCAGCTGTGTATCTTTAATGCCAGTTTGGCACCAGTCAGGAAACTTACAGGAAGCATTTATCAGTTTATCCTAAAGGGATTAAAAAGGATGAAGATACACTGGGAGCAGTTCCTGTGTATACAGTGTCTATGTAACACATTTTTACAGGTCATGAAACTCAGCTGATAAAATCAGCATGTCAGTAATTAAAAGCAGGACAACCTTTGTCTTTATTTCTCACAGACATGCATGCAAAATCTAAGACTTTTCTAAAACTAGAGATTCTACTGTCAGGTACCAAAGGTAAATATTTAAAACTTACTGTAGACAATTTTAAAAATAATTCAGCATTGAAGTAAAGACTGTGTTTTTTCTTTTTTTTGCTTCTGCAAACATATTTGAGTCCTTGTTGCCTGGTACGGGCTGAGTACCTGGAGCTAGTCTGCTGCAGTACCATTAATGATCAGTGCAGTTCTCTGCCTGCAGATGTACACGTTAACCCAAGTTTGTTTTCTTCTAGTTGTGATGCTGGAAAATGAATTACTGTATGGTGTTCCCTTTGAAATGTCTGAACAGGCACAGTCCAAGGATTTTGTTATTCCAATTGGAAAAGCTAAAATAGAAAGGCAAGGTAAGCTAAGAAGTTTGTTTCCTTGTTAACGGAACTGGCTGGGGACTTTAGCCTTTGCTATTCAGAGTACTGCTGTCATGGGCCACAGAAAAGTATTTCAAATCTTAAGTGTTCAAATGTTATTTTATTCTGCAGTATACTTAATTGTTCTGTTGCCCATATAAAGCACAATCACTCCATTCTCTATACCTCATCTAAAACTATACTTTGCTAAAAGATTTTACAGAGATGGAATATATGATGCCTGAAAAACTTTTTTCCTCACCTTAGTATGTAATTTTTGTCAAAAACACAGAAGAGATCATTGTAATATTTCAGCCCCTTGTTCAGAATTTACCACTGAATTATATTAATGTTTGACAAGGATAATCTGAAAACTGTCTTAAATATCTCCTCAGTTCCTTGGATTAAAGGGTAAATTTGTATCTTCATGTAGTCCTTCTGCTACCACTCCTCATGCCATGTACAGGTGTAGAATACTCAGCATTTCAAATAAAGTTAAGAAACTTAAATTTACAAGAGAATCCTAACATCACCTCAGAGGAACTTGTTTCTGTTCTAGGAACTCATGTTACATTAGTGTCACACTCAAGACCTGTTGGACACTGTTTGGAAGCAGCTGCTGTACTTGCCAAAGAAGGTGTAGAGTGTGAGGTGGGTGAGGTTTCTGTTGGTTTTCTC